GACAAATAATGTCTCTTCAGTGATGCTCATGCCGAAACATTGGAAATCCAAAATATTTATATTAAAAAAAAATAAAAATGTTTATTTTGAGCTGAGTTTGGAAAAACGTGCAAGTATACATACTACGTGAAATTTTGCAAGAAAATCTCTAGAGTGTTGAACTGGCATTTAGCTAGAATATATTTGTATACTTTGATAATCTTTTTGTTTTCTTAATCATTTGTGCAAACAATTAGTTTGAAAATCCAACTAAATTATTTTAGGGTACATTTTCTAAACGAACAAAGAACCCATGGGAAAATTCTGGTCATTAACATGAGTGGGCCAAAAACACACGTGCATGGAGGATATATTTAAAACAATTCCTTCGTTTTTCACAAATATAAGATATGTTTACTTCATATATATATATATATATATATATATATATATATATATATATATATATATATATATATATATATATATATATATATATATATATATATATATATAATAGTGTTATTATTTGGATGTACTATGCCGAAATAGTAGTCAGGTTTTGACACATGGTGCACGAGCCGGAGGCGAGTGCACTATGTGTCAAACCCTGACTACTATATATATATATATATATATATATATATATATATATATATATATATATATATATATATATATATATATATATATATATATGACTACTATATATATATATATATATATATATGATAAATAAAATATAACAAACAGTAATCATGCTCTAAAGTCCACTGAAACAACACAAATTGTGAGCAGGGCAAAAAAAAGGCCTCTAAAAACATCAGAAATGGGATCAGGTGCCAAGGAGGTGTAAGTGTTCCCTGTCGACTGGTCACACCCTATGTGCTCTGTTTTTCATGATTGAGTGTACAAAGAAATCTGTTGTCGATTCATTTTGAAAAAAAAAACTGTTCGTACAAAGTGTATAATATTAGCTCTTGCGAAGAGAATCAACTGCGAGACATAAACCCCATATGCTGATGATAAAGGTACTACAATGTACCTAAATAAGGAAAGTTACCAGAAAAGTTGAAGTTATCACCCTTATCAAAAAGCTCAGTTGTTAGTTTTACATTAATATCTTTCTTGAGTAAAATGTCCAAATATGAAGCAAACTGAAGCAAATCAATTCTTATTTGTCTTTGTACACATTCTCTTGAGTCTGTTAATATGACCAGATCCCAAAATATCTTACCTATGGTGAATATTTTCTTCTTTATTTTCTCGAAACCTATTACAATATTGTGAAAGACAAGCACACATGCAAAAAAAAAAAAAAAAAAAAAATCCTTCAAACTTTTTTGGCACATATAATGAGATCTTTTTTTGTATTTCATTTTCTTTTATCAATTAAAGCGTAATTTATAATCTATCAGCAATAATTAATTAAAAACGTCATCACTGCAGAGAGTCCGTCCTAAAATGACTTTTACCTGTCCTATTAAATCATCCATCTATAGTTCTAAATATAATTCATAAAAGAATTTGAGAAAGGGGTATTTACTGGGTGATTTTGCTTAATACTACTGTGCCTCACATTAAAATTTTCGGGTATCCCTCAGCTATGCACAATTTGAGCAAATCAAGATTGAAGATGTTCAAGAGTATGAGAAACTTGAGACAATAAGACACAAGTTAGGTTTGGACTATGTTTCAATCTACCCCAGGGCCTTAAAACAGAGAAATATGGAGTCATGACTCCTCATTTTTCGAGTTTTCTCTAAATAGATACACTTACAGCTCCAACTGGATATTTTCATGTCGTCTTACAGCATTATATTTCAGAAGAGTAATGGACTCTCGCCTTATCTTTTCAATTTTTTTTTTCTTACTCATGCATGTAAATACACGTGATTTTGAAAATACGAGCTGGGTAGTCTTGACTCCCTTCCTTCACTTGTGATTGTTCTCCTTATTCATGGCCGTAGGAACCGGGGGGGGGGGGGGGGCATGGGCGCCCGTGCCCCCCGAAAATTTTGCCGATATAAAGAATACTATAGAAAACATAGCTACTATATGCTTGTACCCACTCAATAATAACGTCTGATGACCTTTTCTTTTTTTCTTTTGCTTGTCAGGGAATTTTGGTAGTTTATAGTGCCCCCCCCCAACTGAAAATGTATGGTTGTGTCTTCCTACAGGTCTGTTATTTTAAAAATCTATTTTCAAGGCCCTATGAACTATCTATTTACGTCATCTTGGAAAGGTGTAGCAAAACATGACTGAATTGGTTGTCTGCCAGGTGATTCTATACACACGTGATTATAAATTTTAAACATCTAGACAAGTGGGTTCAATACTCTAGAGATTGTCATAAAAAAGATTAACATGGAAAATACTATTAACCATGGAATCCCGTTGAGGCACGTTTAGGGAAAGAAATATTTTTTATTGCTTTGAAAACGCAAAAGAATTAATTTAATCGCAATAATCATTGCGTTTAAACGCAAAAGATTGCGTTTTAAACGCAAAAAATATTGCGTTTTTATAAAAATGCAAATCGCCCAGTAAGTAAAATGCTAAAAATATTGTAAAAGGGTATTGAACATTAAGAAAAAACTAGATGCTGTTATAGGAAAGTTATACCAACAGGCTAAGCCTCGATATTTTGAACTATTATTCACATAAATAAACATGTATCATACATGTATGTGGCCCATGAGTCTTAGGGATTAAAATCAAAATTCCGAAACCTTATTGCACATCTACATCAACTTTAAAGTTGGAATAGCCAACTTTAAAGTTGGAATTACCAACTTAAAATAACATAGTTACGTCTAGCACTAACATGCTTCCGTATCTATAGAACGCCACCAATTCAAATACTGGTAGATGATTTGGCTACTGCGTGAAATGTAAGAGGAGTTATGAGAAGATGACTTTTCTATAGAAAATCGTTCCTTACAAAAACCATTTGGCCCCCAAGATGAAAAATATAATTTTCGATACTTTATTGCATAACTGCAGGACAACACCAATCGTGTTCCGAAAGGTTATATGGTTACAGCATAAAATGCTTAAGAGGAGTACCGGAATAGAACAGGTTTTTAATTTTTTTTTTAACTCCTCCCGTCAATTGGCTTCCAAGAAGAAATGTATTAGAACATTTTCCAATGCAATTTTAAACGCAATGATTATTGCGATTAAACGCAATGTTTTGCGATTAAACGCAATAATTACTGTGTTTAATCTCAAAATTATTGAGTTTAAACGCAAAAGATTGCGTTTAATCGCAATCTTTTGCGATTAAACGCAAAGTGTTTTGCGTTTAAATGCAATATACATTTCGGTTAAACGCAATCTTTTGCGTTTAAACGCAATGATTATTGCGATTAAACACAATAAAAAATATTTCTTTCTCTGAACTGGCCTCAACGGGCTTCCGTAGTGCAGTGATAGAATTAAATATTTAAAACCATAGTTCAATACACAAGCGGTAGTGACGCAAAATGTGACATTAAATATGCAAAAAAAAAAAAAAGAAAGAAAGAAAGAAAGAAAAAAGAAAGAAAAAAAAAAGAAAAAAGACTGCATGCATGATTCATAAAAATAACTGGGTAATTCACGATTTCGAACTGACGTACAATCCCTAATTTATCGAACATTTTCAGGTTGTGACATTACATAGAACAAATCCAATCCAAGAATTTTTGTTCAGTTTTCTCTTTGACATCTGAACACGATATTGTTAAGTCTGAAACCATACGATATACTTGAAAAACTATCCAAGCTGCTACAAAAACTAACCAGGTGTAGTTTACAGTAACTAAGAAAATAGGCTGTCAACTTCAAGGTGGAATACAGTAAAAGCTCATCTCTAGTCGTTAATGAAAGCTTATTAAATTCGTATTACGTAGTCAGTATTCTACAAACAGCGATTCCCGGCATTAAACAAAGAACTTCCTTAATTTCCATGAGGAATTTTGACAGTTAAAAGCCAATCACACATATGAGGAATTTAATACGTTGTCATCTCAAATAATTTTTTAACCAGTCTGCCGTATTGCGAGACACAATATCCAAATAACGTACGATTTCAAGTTATTTGGATATTGTGTCTCACAGTAAGCAAAAACGGCAAACTAAGGTATGATCATTTTGAAGAACTACATATAGCGGTAGTTAAAATTCAATATTTGTCTTCCATTGCTCTCTGAAAGCTGCTATATGTAGCTAAATGTGTTTTCAAAAGTTCCAATATCAAATTTTATAGAGATATGAAGGTAGTTAAAATTCAGTTATATTTGTCTTCCATTGCTCTCTGAAAGCTCACAGCTGCTACATGTAGCTAAAGGTGTTCATGAAAGTAACAATATCAAATTTTATAGAGATATAAAAAAAAGCAATTTGTTGTCTTGTTTATTTACATTCGCTGGTTGTTCAAAGTATCTAGTGATAATGATAAAAATGATATTAACAATGATTTCTAAGTAAAACAACTGTACACAACAACAAGGTAAACACTTTGCCTAAATTCTTCAAGACAACAACCACCCTGAATTGTAGAATAAACCGAGTATCAAAATTCAGCCATTCTAATGATTACGCTGAGCAGTCAGAAATATACAGCTTCACTTTTATTTTTTCATGGTTAGCTTTATAGTAATAAATAAAAAAAAAAGTCAGCATAACTCTCAATTAATTCTAACTTAAAAAGGGATATTACGGATTCCAGTAACAATTGCAGGGTTTTTGGGGGTGGGGGGTGGGGGGTGGGGGGGTGGAGGGGGTCTTATGCATTGCTTTTTCACAGCCCGATCACTGAAGTATCAAGTGTTCTGAATTTAATGAAATTTTGGAATAATATGACATTGTGAGCTCTTTTATGTGCATAAATTGAAATTTTATAACAGGTTATAAGCTGCCTCAATAAGTAATGGTTCCTTTGCGAAAAAAAAATCCATTAAACAAGAAGTAAAAACTTTCCTAAAACAATACAAATATATGAATTCAGTTGTGTAAATAAGGTGAGCAAAGAAAAAGTATAAAATGCACATGTACATGTACTGTATAATGTAATTCTAATTTTTTAAAAGTTAGAAGAAAAAAATAATGAAATAGGCAAATGTGAGTGGAGGAATTAGAGAGGAATAATAATTTTTCATATATGTGAGCAATTCAACAATACATGGACATGTGCATGTATGAAAACAATACACACAACTTAATATTTAATAACTGACTACTTTACAAGTACCATATATTTAACTAAAATAAAAGTGATGTTTAAAAATTTAAATAAATATATCATTATTCACATTTTGGACAGTCTTTTCAGTGTTCGTCGGCTAATTTTTTTTTCAAGAACAAGTACAAGTATTTACAAACTGCTGCACTGATTCTTCATAGCTAAATGTTTTCCTTCTCAAGTATTCCTACAGCTAATTCAATTTCTAAAGAAATAATCATATCACTATTAACACTACATAAATTATCTCCCTTATTTTCACTGATTAGCTGTTTAATCATTTTCTTTCTGGACTCATTGACACTTGAATTTACAGTTACAATTTAATTAAATGATCTTGCAGTTAGTCTTTGAACACTTCTTGTACACTCCATTTTGTTTACTCCATATGTGAACATCAGTCTTTGAACACTTCTAGTCTACTCCACATGTTAACATTAAATGCCCTGAGTTATCTTCAAGTCACTCATGTTATCACTCTCAATTTTCAAAGTCTACAAAGAAAAACAAAAAAAAAGAAACTTAACTGTTCATAAAATTGAAAAATAAAAAAAAAAATAAAAAAAAAAATTTGATACTGTGCAAGGAAGATCTTGGGAAACCTTGGGGAAAAAAAATTTGGAGAGGGTGGGGGGTTGGGGAGATTAATTAAATCATGCTGGTATGGAGCCCTGTTACTCATTTTGTAAACTCTGTTATCATATACCAGTACAATGTAACGTGATATAATGTCATTTTGACTGGGTACATTTTAATTCATGAAAAAGTAAAACTAGAAAGAGGGAAACATCTTCAGAATGAGCCCTACCTTCTCATTGGCTAGATGAAGCAGACAAACAAAAGCTATGGGAACACTAAGGTTTTTTGCCATATGAGACGATACATTCTGAGGTAGGTCATTGAGAAGTTCCTGAAAGGACAAGCTGCCATTCATGTCTGTACTGCCATTGCTGTTTTCCGAAGATCCGGGTCCATTCTGGAAAATAAAGAAAAAAAATTGAAAAAAGGGTTGATTCCAAGTGTAAAAATATGTTAAAGGATAAAGCAGTCAAGTTAGCTGTCCTTTATGTCATTCTGAGTTTCTAACAGGTTTCCCTTCACTGTACTTAGCCTGGAAATGAAAGTTTACTTTTCAAAAAATTTTAAAAGTGAAAATATCATGACTTGCCTCTGTGGGTTTTTCTCCCGACTCCTCCATCCCTTCTTCTGTTGACTCCTTATGGTTATTTTTATCCTCCTTCTTTGATTTTTTGGTCAATAAATGCCATATGACCCCTTTCAATTTCTTGACATCTAATTTCTTGGCGGTCTTTGCATAGTTTATGTCTATCTTTTCAACCTGGAATAAAAACGTGGATTTCTCAAATTATGTCTCCATGAAAACAAAGCCGTGCAGATAGTGTCTGATAGGTTTTTGCAATTTATCAGATTATTTCAAACAGTCATTAAAAATCTCAAAGTCTAGCCTAGAAACTGCTTTGCTTTTCAATGTATCAAAGACATTTGTTGTTCAAAACTGTCTTAATTACAATGCACAAATCTCAAAATAGTGGAAGTGTATTAGAAGTGCAATGACTGTGAAGTTGTTTCAATACTGAATGGAAATTGAAAATTTGCATTGCAACAAAATAAAATTAAAGATTAACTTATTACCTTATTTGGTTGAGACACCAACTTATCTCCCATTAATGTTGTGTTGTTGAGTGTACTATCTGGCTGCATGGTGTAGTCATCTTGGCTGAAATTTCCTTCACCCGCCGTAAAGTCGAATCCACCCCCAACATCGTCATCATCATCCACTTCCTGTAATCGAAGTGAAATACTATAAACATCTTAATTTGGCTGTGTATTCTATTTAACACCTTATCTCGGAAAGCAGCCTCTGCTAAATCAAGTACGTCACTAAATGTCTTGTGTATATACATTCATATAAAGCGCATTCAGAATGCTCTACATGCAATCTATGCTAACTTGTTGAAAATCCAATTTCTGCCAAATATCATACACCTCAAATAAAATACATTTATCTTAAAAGAAAAAAATATGCAAGCTTAGCTCATATCATTTACAAACTTTTGAAAATTGCTTAAAAGCTATTTAATATCTTTGCAAATAAAGACATCATATAAAATGCATATACAGTACATACAAAAATGTATATGTATTTAGTTTTCTCAATCAGATCTGCGATTATTGACCTGTTGTAAATTTTTGTTTCAGTTTAGTAACTCCCCCCCTCCCCTTTCCCATTTTAAACCCATTATCACTAACCAAAGAAAATTTTCAAACCTATCACTTAGCCTAAACTTTATAATCATATTCATTTTGAAGTATTCACATTCATGTATTTATATCAATCACAGGATTTGAGTGCTGGGTGAACCAGAACATGAAATTAAATCCTAAGGTTTGCTACAATAATGTATATCAATCCAGACAAACCTCATCTCCTTTGGGACAATAATTTTCTTTGTCGTTTGGATTTTCATAGTTATAATTTTCTATCTCCTCATCTATGTCCTCTGATGCTGTGTCTTGTCTCTTAATCTGTAATTAGTAGGAATATCTTTTTTAGACAAAAACAAAACAAAAAACAAAACAAAAAAAAATCCACCATGTTTGATTACTCATGTTAAATATCTAAGTGAACAGTGACAGTACAATCATCAACAAGAAAACAATATTTATAAATCAGATTTGGTGATATTAAGTAAAATTTTCATTACAAAGTATCCTTCTTGAGATGAAGTGATTTTGCATAGGATCCTTTAACACATTGGTATTTTCTAACCTCTCTTTTTAAACTTCATGACAATTGTCCAACATCTATTCTTTCAGATTTTGTTATTTCTATAATCAAGGAATTTTTTTTGTTGTTGTTGTTATTTTGATAGCAGGTACCCTTGACTCACCATAATTTGACTTTTACAGAACAGTCGGAACAACTTGTCAGCATCGTAATGGAGATCTTTAGGTAGAGTATTCTTTTCTTTGCTGTATTTAGTCAGCGTTGACTTGGTCAGGGTGATGGACTTGGATGACTTGAAGTACTTGGCAAAATCTTTCTCTTCCATCACTTCATCATAATCTATATCCAACAGGGACTTCTTAGTCTTCTGAGTTTTTTCCATCTGTGATTTTGTCCTAGGATCTTATTGGATAATTGAAGTAAACATTCAAGTTTTCATCACACCAAATAAATTCATAGCTTCTTTATAAAGGAAATGAGCAAAACTTACAAAGGCAGGCAAAAGCACAATGTATGTGTGCAAACAGGAAAAATGTCACAAATTTCAAGGAAAAAAAAAAGAAGAGTTTTATGCTTACAGTACATAAGAAATAAGGAAAAACATAGCTCAAGAAATTTTTGGACATCAAAAATGATTTTATTATCTCCTTTTAACAAACATGGGATGTACATGTAAGTGTATTCATGTATGTATTCAGAGCCTTCAATGCTTGTATGATATAACCAGTACCTTTAGACAGAGGTCCTATTCTCCAATGAGCTGGCCCTGCCCAGGCCCGGAGAAGAGCCTTGTTAAAGTAGGAGTAATCAGAAGGCTCCGATGCCAGTACACTTAGTAAGGTGCCTGTTGTTCCATGTCTAGAAAAAGAAAACACAGCTGAAGTAAACAAACTGCATGCAAAATATTTCTCTTTATTTTCTGACATTATTAATCTTCAATTGAGTGTACTCAAAATATACATGAATGTCTTCCTCCCTGTCTATCAATTTTAATGCAGTTAGTTTAAAGCTAAAAATCAGGAGATGGTTAGTTATCATATAAAAGTATTGCCACACATATTGATAGACTTGTTCATTTTTTACTTGATCTTTAATCAAGTGACAACAAAATTTTGTTTTCCTTTAACCATACTCTATGTTTATAGTGTGCATGAAGTCATTATGATAAGAACTCAGATTATTTCAACTTATAATAGTGCTGAAAAATGTATCAATAATCTTGACTTTCTGAATATGAGGCCATTCTCATTAGCAAAAATTACTTTAACACATAAAGGAGCTGAAGAATGTGTCTTTTTGAGCTCAGCCTTTCATTGAGTAACCCCAAAATCTCTCAGTGTCTTACTGTAACAATCCTCCATTTCTATGGTGCATATAAACTCATCTAGTTTTGACCTTGATATTTTGATCAAATGAACCCCTATTAAATAGTGAAATTATTTTCAAAACAGATTCCCTAGTATGACCTGATTCCTAGTCCGACTTACGTGAGATCACGGATAGCACTCTGCATTAGTTCTGCTGCCTTGCCATCACCAATACATATGGATTTCTCTGTTATTTGATTGTTTCCCCCTGAGTCACCATCATCTTCTATTTAAAAAGAATCACATTTAGATATATACATGTACATTATTTAATTAACAAGAGGCCCATGGGCCACATCGCTCACCTGAGCACTCTGGCTAGGAAAAAGCAGAGCAGAAGTTAGTTCAGTCTTGAAAAGCTTAAATATAAAACTGGTTTGGGGGGGGGGGGGGGGTGTATTTGAACTAACTTAAATCTAAACTTCATAGGGATGCTTTTGAATTAATATGACAAATAATGGCTTTGCTGTTCTTAAGAAGAAAATTTTGATTGATATATCCTTTGTATTCCTTTGTATGATCCCCTGTTATGGCCCCTCTATTCTCTAAGGGATCATGATTTGTACAAATTTGAATCTACATTACCTATTCAAATATGACTAATCATGGCTTTGCTGTTCTTGAGAAGAAGATTTTTAAAGATGTTCCCTATATATTCCTATGTAAAACTTTGATCACCCATTGTGGCCCCACCCTACCCCTGGGGGTCATGATTTGAACAAACTTGAATCTGCACTACTTGAGGATGCTTCCATATACGAGGGGTTATCAAAAAGTTCGTGGACTAGCGTCATAAAATGTAAAACCGCTTGAGATATATCAATGAATTTTTAAATATTGAATAAGCATCTTCTTTTCTATCTGTAACATGAAATACAAATTGTAAGTTTTATTTTTTAGTGAATCGTAAATGTTTTTATAAGCAATGGTATGTCCATGTGGCGCAACCTGGAACGTGACGTATTTTCTACCTGCGTGTATCTGAGAAAAACTCTTCTAATATGAGCATTTGTCATCCGAAAATCCTATTAATTCACTCATGTAATATGACACAATTTTTCTGTAAAAGTTGCAATTTTTACCTCATTCTGTATATTCTATGATATTTTATCGTAATTTTTATATCGAATGTCCAAATAATAAAGGGGTTAAAAATGACGTCGAAAGGGGGTAGGGTGTCATTTGAAAACATTCTATAAAGTTTCAGCCCCTGGGTACCTGAAATAGACCTAGAAAATGTTTAAGCAAGCTACAGAGAAATAAAATACACCCAGAGTACTTGTTTTTAAATACTAAAACTAATTCAGCAAGAAAAGAGACACAGGGTTAATGTCGATTTGTAGTCAGGGTGTCCAAAGTCAGTCACGTTGAAAAGTGACGTTGATCATTGGCTCACATTGAACTCCGAGAAGAAAATTATTCTGGCAAAATCAAGCGAGGATCTCTACCTATGTATAGATTTAATTTTTACAATATTAATGCATTGCAATCAGGTGTTCATGACATTGTAAAGTCATATAAACAAGACGGTTTTAAATCTTTACTTTACTCCCGAGAATCTCATCAAGATAAGTGTATTGAGGCAGAGAGAGCGGGCATTAAGAAATAATGACGTTGTCGGACGTCATGAAACTAAACGGCGACAGCGCTGGATAATCATATGATGTCCTTCTTATTTTATGATAATTTGGCAAATTATCAACATATCAAGCTGAAATTTTCAATATTTCTTAAACTTTTGTTGTTTTATGTTCCCTATAAATTTTTTAATCAACGACTACATAGTATTAATTTTATCGCATCAGTCCACGAACTTTTTGATAACCCCTCGTAAATATGACCAATCATGGCTTTGCTGTTCTTGAGAAGAAGATTTTTAAAGATTTTTCCTATGTATTCCTATGTAGAACTTTGATCCCCCATTGTGGCCCAACCCTACCCCCGGGGGTCATGATTTGAACAAACTTGAATCTACACTACCTGAGGATGCTTCCATATAAGTTTCATATTTTCAAGCACAGTGGTTTTTGAGAAGAAGATTTTTAAATGATGCCATTAATTTTTCATGAATTCATAATTATCTCCCCTTGGAAGAAGGCATGGCCCTTCATTTGAACAAACTTGAATCCCCTTTATCCAAGAATACCTTGTGGCAAGTTTGGTTGAAATTGGCCCAGTGAGAAGAAGATGAAAATTTGAAAAGTTTACGACAACGACGACTACGACGACAGACAAATTTCAATCAGAAAAGCTCACTTGAGCCTTCGGCTCAGGTGAGCTAGTAAGAAGGTGTAACATTCAACAAATACACAATAATGGTAGCATCAAAAGTAATTCAAAAATTGAAAAATTTCTGTAACAATTTTTCAGGAATGTCAGTTTTCAACTGCACTATGTAACAATTACTGTCGCAATGAAAAAATGAACCCGGGTTCAAAATATTATGCGATATATTGAACCCGGGTTCAATATATCGCGATATCAAAATATTATGCTACACCGGGACTCGGTATTACAATGTAAAAATTTTGACCAAAAAAATTCCATCCGTGTTTATTCAGTATTGATCGATAATTGACACTTTAGGAGATGCTAAATAAACATTGGAACACCTGTTGTCTGACAGGGTGTGTTCACTACCAAACCTGTTAGGTGATTAGTGACGCTTGACTGATCACACTTTGACAGGTCAGGCGGTTCACAAAAGCCATTGTTTCCAAGCCATTGATAAACTATGAAAGTGTGCATATCTATAGCTTTTAGTTTATTTAATTCTGTAAATTTACTTTATTTTTTAAAGGTTGGTTACCAAATAAAACTTATTTATAAAAGAAAACGTTGCATTTAATTGTGTTGATGCATATTAAATCCACTGTGTAACTATGTTCGCCATTACACTGTGTTAATGGACAGCTTGGGTATCAAACATTATTTTGGGGGGAAAAAACCCTCAGTCAAGTTTCAACAGCTTGGATAATGGCTTGGGCCAATTTACCAGTGTTATTCACTGTTAATAGGAACACGGAATGATAACTACCCATTGAACTACGACATATACCGATATAGCTTGTGTATAATGAAATATTGTAAAACTCTGTTTTGTGAACTGAAGTTTGTTTTTTTATTTAAAATAAATCTAAATTTAATAAATTAAAAAAAAATGTTTTGGTTGTCTATTAAGTAATGAACGTATGTTGAACACGAAACTTTATTCAGTGAAGTTTTCATGAACACATTGTCTACGTACACATGAAAGTGAAAGTAAAAGAAAATGGCGGGATCGCGGGAATGAATGCACATAGCCTATGTTTACTACAAAATATGATTGCTGCATTAGAAATAAAGCAAAAGGAGTTCAACAGCGTGAAGAAATATGCATTCACAAGATAAGTTGTGAATAAATTAAAGTGTCAAAGTGTTTTAACTAAGATATTTCAGGTAGAAACGGAAGAAGAAAACACACCTCAATACACAGATAACATAAGCTTTCAAAACAATGTTATAGTGGATTTTATTGGGAACTTTTATTACGTTGCCCTCGGTATTACGATATTTTACTGTGACAAAATGAACATCGTAATAACGAGACCGCACTGTATATGCAAACCCTTAAATGACTGCCATAAAAGGGTACATGTGAAGGTTTTGAGCATGGTTCCCAATCTTACCTGCATTATCCTCCCCAAAAGCACCTTCAACTGCCATATCATCCATATCAGCAGGAAGATCTGCCATAGTCTGGTCTACTTCCTCTATAGGTTCTGTCTCTGCATTTAAATCAAAAGCATGGGTGGTGGATCCAGATGGACCAACCGACGTCTGTGAAGAAAAATATTAACATTTTATACATTAAGCAATTTTTAAATTACATATCAATAATCATTACAAAAATGTGTGTTTCTGTATTTTTCTGGTACAATCTAATACAATCTGATACAATCTAATTATGAAATAGATTTCATTGAAATCAAAGCAAAACTGTGCCCTTGTGTATTTACTACATGTACTGATAGTTTTATTGAAATCAGAGCAAAAATTTCTGATTTTTGAAAGAATTTCCCATTCTGTACAATGACTTAAGCAAAACATTCATTGAAATCAAAAACTGATGTACAGAATTACATGTATGAGTGTATCGTGGTCTAAGTTTTTTTTGTAATGAAATCAGACCTTATCTAGGAAATGTGGCATTTTCAAACAATTTCACACACTACTTTATTGTTATTAGCAAGGGCAACACCTTCATTAAAGTAAAAAAAAAAAAATAAAAAAAATGTATTTTGGTGTCCTACATGTGCTTGTGTAATAAGTTTTACTGCATTGAAACCAAAACTATAAAATAATTGTTTACAGGCAACATACACCAATGAACATATGATGAATAAGCTCCTCTGGTGTCAGTTATCATACCTTCTGTATTATCCATCTCTCTGATCAGTATAGCTTAAAAAAGTAACAAACAATTAACTCCATTTTCTTACCTCCATTGACGAGTCCCAGTTTGTGAATTCAAAACTGGAAAAGGATGGACACACTTCTTTTGAATTTAAGTCAATCCCTCTGAACATTCCTATTAAGAAAACAAAGTAAAATGCACCTGTGTCTGTTAACAAAAACAAATTTCACAGTGACAAAAGCTAGGAATCCATCCCCAAATACACACATATATTAAATCACAAAGAGCAAGATAGACTAGCATTAACCAAGCTTCAACAATAACATAAATTGCAGGGACCAACCTAGACCCAAAATTTAGGGAGACATCACTTCTGCCTCAGAGAAATTTAGGGAAAAGTTTCAAATTCTAGGGAGGTTTTTTAGCATGAGCATGGTGCACAATGATCATTTTACTTAGAAATTTTAAATACACATTTAATACACTTCAAATACATTAATTTCTCTGTATTACTTAAACATCACAAGAATACTCAAAGAGACAGAAAGATAGTTTTAACAAATATATATCTGATATTTTCCAATTCCAATTTAGAAAATTACACATTGTCAATCTAAAACTCTGCCAACTGATAGACTTTGGCTTACTGAAGAAATTTCATTACTTACGTAGTATTCACACTTCACAGTTTATTATTTTACATAGTTATATTTACATTTAAAATTCACACACTTTTCTCTTCTCATCTTTCAATATTTTCAGGGCATTAGCACAGTCATAGTTTGTTCTATTCTCTTCAAAGTTCATTCAATAAGAAATTCCTTTATTTTTATTTTTTATTATTTTTTTTTTGTGAATATGTGTATTTGTGAATGTATGTGCATTTATGAATAAATGAAAACAAAAAATAATAAATGTATTATCATGAAAACTACTCCTGCATGCTGAGTGAGCGACTTCATGCAGTCAGCCTTGTACAAATTCATGTCTGTGATCTGTCATACACGACAATCATTCAAAATAGTCTAATATGAAATAAACTAACAACGTGAGACCAGTGAAATCAGTCCTTAGTACTGAGAAAAATGTCCAGAAAAAAAAAGGGTGGGATTTAGCTTCCATGTAATGAGGGCACTTCCTACATCTGAACACTTCTGAGTAAAAAAGTGAGTATCACAGGACTTTGCGGTTATAATTGAACAAGATACCTTTAATTTCCGACATATCTACAGGCTTTTTCTGTGATAATCCTTCTGAATGATCCAGCTGTACAATAGCAGAGGTGGAGTCTAGGATAAGGTCTTGTTGATCATCAAAGGTACGTAGATTATTTAACAATAAACCACTGCTACCACCCTCATCAAATGCAGCAGACATTACTTTGAACAAGGGATCCACCTGTAAAAAAAATTCTTTGTCTACAATCACTGTAACCAATCTGTAACATATTTTGAAAAAATTATAGGATTTTAGTAGGTATTAATGTTTTCCAAAAGAATTAATGCTTTGAATTTAAAACATCAAGTATCCTGCATACTATGATGCATAACTCTGTTAGATATACATGTAGAAATATGGATATCATTGAAATAAAACTCTGACAACTTACCTCAAATTCTAGGTCCATTTTACTGACATTAATGTTTTTCAGGTTAGACTCTATTGTGTTATTCTTCTTTGTCTAAAATGTAAATAATATCTCACATGAACATTTCATGTTTGTATTAAAAGGATAATTTTCTATTGAAGACTTCTCTACTATACACTTACAATGGCATACATGCGAATTAAATCAAATTGAAAGAATGAAAGTTTTGAAGTCTTTTTCTCTACTCAAAACATACACCTCCTAGGAACACTTTACCCTTTTCTTCTTTTTGATTTCCTCTGGCTGCTCCTCCCCAGGAACACCATCTTCCTCCATTGCCTCTTCTCCTAGTAACACAATGTATTTGGAAGTAATTATTATACATATTTTTGTCCTGCTTTTTTTCCATTGCAGTAGATGTGTACACATATATACATGTACATGTGCACATGTATTCACTTCTTTTGACAGTAAGAGTGATTGAATCTGGATATACTGTAGAAGCAGGAATTTTTGGAAGGATAAAATTTCAATGATTTGTGATCTATAATAGTTTCCTGGGGATTAAATTTTGTTGTTTCAAAAGTAACCATATTCAATATTCAACCATAGTAAAATTTCGTTTGGGATTTAATTTTGTTGATAATTTTTAACACCGAATTTTAATCCCCTAGGAATTTTTCTGCTTTTACAGTACATGTAATACTTTTCGTCTCAAAAATGCATATACATCTTTATCTTACATCATCATCATTTTTTTAAAATTATGTCTTAATTATAAGCAAACCATAGCTCATAGTCAGTAAATAATTTTCTGAATAATTGGCCTACCATCTTCGTCAGCCTTTGATTTTTCTCCACTACGTCCTAATCCAGTCAGAACTTTGTATGTTTCAGAGTGAATGGCATCCACTCTACCAGCATAAATCTTAGCACTGGCATCTAGTGTAGTACTGGCAACCTACAAGAAACATAACAAGTTAAACAACACTAGCAATGGGGAGGTGGTTAATCTGATATCTGGTACAAAATTCATAATGAATTCTTTATTGTTTAAAATTCACATATCTCTGATTCTCGGTACAAAAGCACTAGCTGTTATTAAGGAAGCAATGGTATTACAATTCAACTGGTATAATTTTCCAGAAAGTACAAAAGGAATCTTTTTAGGATATTATGTGATGTCTGTGGCCTATTATGATTTTAATAAAATAAAAAAAAATTACAAAAGTACAAAAGGAATTTAACCAGAAACAATGAATTTTTCCCATATTAATCTTCAAAGTCTGTCAAAATTTACTGTGAGCAAATTGAATGCCTCCTGTTATTTCAAACTTGTAAAGAGGAGACAAGTATGGACCAAGCAACTTAGCATATTTAAAATCAGAAATAAACTTTACCTGAAAGTTATCTAACTCTTTCTTCTTTACTAAGTCTGACATGTAATCAATCAAGTGTAGTCCAAATGCATTTTTAGCATTAATTTTCTGAAAGATAAATGAATACTTATTAATAACTGTTAATTATGAGTAAACATGTATGCATTTCAACAGTAATTTATATACAAAACATTTTTCTTTTTGGCTTATCAAAAGGTAAAAGTGTCTTCCAGAGGATTGGATGATATCCGAAAATTGTTGAAATCTAAGGTAACTTTTGTATTTAATACTTCCCAAAATACATTTGGTAGTCATACTTGAAGGAAAAAAATCTATATTGCGAATTCACTATACATACTTTAACAAATTTGTTATATAGATATAACAAAATACGGATATAGCGAAGTAATTTTGCAGGTCCCCAAGACTTCGCTATAACTGAGTTTACTTTGTTGCCATATTTACATTTTCTGCTGAGAGCTTTATACAGCTGGAGTAATGATCTGCTAGCTGAGTTGCACTGAGTCCACTAAGAGGTAATGATCTGCGTCTGTAAGTTTCAATCTTGTAATTAACTATTATTTTTTTAAGTAAAATATTTAAAGAAAAATTGTAATTAACAGAAATATATAACCATCAAATGTACCATCAACAATAAAGTTTTACGGGCCATCACTCTATAAATCCCAACTGGTATAAAAAAAATAAATGGCAAAAAAGAAATTGTTAAATCAATATTTACTCCTCAGAAAAGATCATCTGATAAGGCTGAAACGATATGCTTCCTTCAAAGTATCAGGCAATTATGTAACAAAATGGTTATTTTCAACAACACATTTTTTATTGAAGAAACAAATTCCAAGCTGTTTTATGTCTTGTAAATATTTCAATTGAAAAATAACTTAACTGTTTTGCAAAATGACCATGATGACTAGAGAAATTGAACAGAAGAAACTGACTGTTATTGAATATTCTACAAACTCTAAGTCTACAAGAATCAAGTTATTAAAAATGAAAATATAAATTGTGTTGTGTAGCATGTCTTATTAATGCCAAACCCAACTGATTAACAATCCCTATCAAAAAGTGAAACTTAAAATGGAGATTTTGTACCATGCATCAAACCAACAGAAAAAATTATCATGATGAATCAATACTGTGTTGAAGCATTTCACTCTTATCACCAGGACCAATTAAAATTCCTGATCATAAATAATTCTGGTAAATGATTTCCAAATAGAGAATATTTTGTTTAACATAACAAATAATGATCAGTTTATAATTTTACCTTTCCCCAGGAGAGGCTGGACTGCCCACTCGCTGTTGCAGCTGAATAATTCTAGAGCGCCTCCGCTCTCTTTTCTCGGCTGCATCATCATGTTCTGCCGTCAACATTGGGACGGGACTTTTTAGACTCACATGGCGGCTTGATGCAGGAGATATGATGTTTGAGACAGAATTTAAAATATTAGGAGTGGTAGTTAGAGGGGATAAAACCTCCCGAGCAGATGGCATGTTACTGAAAGAGAAATCTGAATTAAGTATGTAGCAAAAATATTAGTTTGCAAAAGGGTAACCAAAGTATAATTTCCTTCTAACAAATAGATTCATACCTGTAACCATCATTTCATTTTACTATACTGATGTGATACACAATTTTAGCCATATTTATAATAGTGAACAGAACTTGGGTCCATTAAATATTTCCTCTTGCTACAGATCTACCATTCTTGACAATAATTGTGAAAACATTGCATGAGCCGAAAAAGTTTGAATAGCAAAAGATGTACACCGATCCCGATATTAAAATTCAGATAAAAGCGGCCAGGTATTTTTAATACTTCCAGTCCTCTCGTTATTAAAAAGCCATTTAAAAAATTTAAAAAGAACACAATACTTTTTAAATAAATACATACTAGATACTCTTATCATTTATGTTTACAATTTATTCTTATTATGTTATGGTCAATGTTGCATATCACTTGATTTACTTAATATTGATCTTCCTTACCGTGAGATGAGTTGCAAGTCTTTCTCTTATGAAAATTGATGTATCATACTATTTGATTTCCTTTAGAACCGACTTCAACTTAATAATCCATCAAATTGTGGGAATATTTTGTTTTTCATTAATTATTTTTGAAGATTCCGCCTTCCGCTGGCAAAGTCTCGCGTTCTCTCGTGAGAAGTAAAAAAAATAATTACTAAGTCGATACAAGGAAATAGAAATTCCGAATTGTGTTTGGGGCCGCTGTACCAGTGAAAACTGTCGCTACTGAGATGGGTCTCTATAAAAGGCGAAGTGTATAGGTATAAAATTTATGTTTTTTAAATGTTTAACACAGTGGTGTTTTGAAAGAAGCGAACTTTAAAATATTGCAGATCAATTTTCCATCTCTATCATGTCTACCTTGTATATTTGTTGTTATGAAGAAAGCTTGTCAAGAAATGAAATGATTACCAGCTTCCTTAAAGTTAAATGTTGTCACCCCTGCTGCAATATAGGGCCTATAAAAATACATTTTATAGTATCCTTGTAGTAGGGTGACATACAGTTGAACTTCGATGTCTCGAACACTGATATCTCGAATACCTGATGGATATGTCGAAGTGATTTGTAAGTCCCAACTTATACTTATTCTTTAAGTATTTTACTCTAGATATCTTGAGTCCTCGGATATCTCTAAGTTTTATCTTGGTCCCATCAAGTTCAAGTTAACGAGGTTTGACTGCATTTTAAAGAAGGTGAATGTTTCTTGACAAGTCCCTGTGGTTCAAATCTCATCAAAACTTAATGTCAGCTGAGATATACTACTTGTCTAGATGCATGTTGAGGGACGGCATAGTCATCGATCCAAACACCATTAAAGGTGCTTGGACACATATTTGAAGTTAATATTTTCTCAAATTTTCTGTATAATTTCATGACTTATATGTTGCTATAGCATTTCATACTAAAGTATAATAAAAATCTTATTTCATCTCGAAGTTATTGAAACTTCAAATTTCTGGACGTGTTTGATTGACACATCCTTGCACTTTCACAAATTTTAATTTTATTCTTAATACTGAAGAAAAGTGGCAATTTTGTTGTGTATTAATGAAAAATATTAAAACTATAATCCAGAAAATTCAGAGTAGAAATGTTCGAAAGCAAAATCCACTCACAGTATTGTCAGTCCGTGCTCAGTGGTGTGTGCAGACTTTAACAATTGAACACACTCGGTGAATCGTAAACATTAACAGTAACAGAGCTTGTACCCTGTTTACAAAAACAGTTTACGTTTCACGGGTGTATTCAATTTGTTAAACTCTGTAGACAACACTGAGCACGGACTGATGAGGGATTTGCTTTCGCACATTTCTACTCTAAATTTATGGATTATAGATGTAATGTTTTCATTAATACACAACAAAATCACTTCTTTTCTTTAATATTAACGTAGAACCTACGTCGTATGACGTCATATCAAGTAAATCAGTTTAGACCGTCTTTTTGATGCTAGATCCATTATGACGTCATAATTAATTTAATGTTACTTTTCCCCGTACTTTCACCAAGACTGTCTCATGTAATGAAGTTACACAACTGTGATAATGTGAATGGCATGCAACTATTTTGAAGGAAATCAAAAATCCTAAGAAATCTAAAATGTACAATATCTTGATAAAAATGTCTCTTAGTCAAAGATCTGTTAAAAATTGTGTGTAAATTTTGTAATGTCTATCATGAAATGACGTGCATTCCCTTTCATAATTATTTGTTAATTATTCATAATGGTTGGTGTATAATAATTATGTTACCCTAAAATATCTTTTTAAATAAAAAAAATTGCATTTTTTGATAAACATTTCCATCGTAAATCTGAACGTAACAACAAAACAGTCATTTAATAATTAAATCTGTGTTAGTGCAGAAAGGTCAACAAAAGAAGTATTGATAAATAGAGTGTCTCTCAGTCGTTTGTGGTGAAAGGCGTATATTTTAATCACTTTTTGTAATTATTTGGGTATGTTCTTCATCATAATAAAGATTGAAAATATTCTGACAAAGACTTTTGAAAAATATTTACAAATTTAGGTGGTAAATTGACTCAAAATATATTGAGCACATTTGTCTATATTCGTTGAAATGTGGACTTTATCTTTTATGTCAATTGAATAAAAAAGAATTTATTCTTGAATAATATTGCTCTATACGGTTCAGTTGATAAAGTCTGTAAACGACGATGTTTGAAGAAGTATTGTTGTGATTTTCTATATTCTCATTATGACCAGTACCCCTATAAATGGCTGAAAATATGTAGTCGCAGTGTAAAATTATCATTCCAAGTTGCACAGGCTGTACTACATTTAATAACAAGGAAACATACCATATATTTTTATCTGATTGACAAGGGAGTGCTAATTCATCATTTTGAAAAGTTTGAAAATCTTGTGACAAAGACTTTTGCGACATAGGTTCTACCTTAAGCTAGGATAAAGATAAAATCTGTGAAAGTGCAAGGATGTGTTAATCAAACGCGTCCAGGAATTTGTAGTTCCAATAATTTCCAGATAAAATAAGTTTTTAATTATATTTTCGTGTGAAATGCTATTGCAATATGTAAGTTGTGATATTATACAGAAAATTTGAGAAATCTGTGTCTAAGCACCTTTAACACAGGAGTCCGCAGTTTTATCAATAAAATTTAGCAATATGTGAATAACAATCATTTAGCTTTGCGACACTCACGAAGCTCATTGTTAGTTTTTTTTTTTTTACATTTTTTTATTGATAAAACTGCTAATGTCTGTGGTCCTTATATCCAGCAAATTTGAATCTGAGCTGAGATTAAATCTTTGGCACCTTTTTCAGCTCTTCAAAGTCTTTTTTAAATATTTTGGATTTCCAGTGTTTTGGCTTGAGCATCACTGAAGAGACATAATTTGTCGAAACGTACTGTATATGATTAACAACATGTTCAAAGAAATCATCTCTGCCCGTCCAGTATTTTTTAAGTTTCTTCCTATTTGTCCAGAATGACTCAAGTCTGGAGGAAGCTATGTATCTATGAATATAAAATTTACTGCTAATGGCTGGTACTTTTAACTCTAAGCACTCTAAGACAGCTAAAGGTATTTATCATTGTTGTACACCAAAGCATCAGATATATTGACCCATTAGTTATTTAAATATACATTAAAAAACATGATCAAACTCCAGTTCCCTGTTTTCCAGTTTATACTGCAATATCACTTGATTTATACTACATGTAATAAAAGTTATTGTGATTGACAGATGAAGAGATTGTGTGAGTATGGCGGATACAGAGGAGGTGGTGGTGTACATCATGCCACAGAAGATACAGAAACAGAGACTCAAACACATGAAAATGGCTGCATTAAAACATCACATCATGCTGGCCGAAGAATTAAAGTGAGCTCTATTATTGTCACTGCACTTGATCCAGTGTATATCAAGTAGTGCATATTATAAAGATATATTTATTTTATGAAATTTTCTCGATAAAAGAAAACTTGAGCTCTGATTTATGAAAGAACTTACAACTTAGACCAAAAACTTACAAGCTTATGCATGGATGTAATTAATGTAAAATGTTTCAAATTAATAATTCTGTTAAAAATTAAATGTATACTTGCATCTCTGTCCTGTTTTCCTTGACTAATTACATTTTCTTGCATGCAGACTCAATACTTATATTCTTTCTTTTAATTGCTTAATTACTGTGGAATCATCAAGCTCATGGGGGACCAATGTTCGTGGATTTCATGGGTCACCCTAAAATTTCCCACAAATTTACATCCTCATGAACATTTATTTTGTAAACATATTGATTCATTGAATCTACCGTATAAACAAGTATCTCTCGAAATTACGTCCCCACGAAAAAGTAAAACTTTTCATGCCCACTTTGTCCCCTATGAATTAATTAAAATGATTCCACAGTATATTGAAGTCTTCTGAATTACCTTGAAACTTATGAGAAAATGCTAAATCTGCTAATTACTTAATGTTCAAGATTTTTAAAAAGAATTTCTTTAATTACAGAGAAAATGTCACACACATAGTGACAGAATATGAGACTTCAGACCAGGCAATGAAGGTACTGAAATTGTCAGAATTGCCACAAAATACTCATCTCCTAAAAGTCAACTGGTTCACTGACAGCATCAAGGCCAGAGCACCAGTACAGATCCAGGAGCAACACAGAATTCCTGTTGGAGATTCAGTTGTAAGCTCCTATAAATCAGTTTAATTTTTTTATTCAGTTTTCAGTTATTTGATCATTAGAACACATTTTATATTTTGACAACTTCAGCATGTTACAGCTGTTGCAACATACAGCCAAACATCGTTGAGAAGTCAGATTATTATTATGAGTCTACAGTTCATAACAGTGCTTCGAAAGAACAAACACTGCAATTACATAAAATCACTTCAAAGCAAATTTTATTACATCAAAACTACAAATTCACAGCATTCTAGTCAAGAATTAGGAATTAAAATTATTTTAGAGTACATGTAACTATATTTACTTTGGCAGTCGTAATAATCCTAGATAGGTAATTAATTTTACTACAGTCAAACTTGTCTAATTCGAATGTTGTGTCCTCTGAAATCTTGTCTAATACAATGTAAACTTTATGTCCCTTTCAGTAAATGCATTTGTTTTAAATGTTGTCTAATCCAGAATGTTGCCTTAATCCAGCAAATTTCCTTGGAACCAAATATGGTGTCCAGATTAGACAAGTTTTACTGCATGTATATAATTTAACTCTATATAATAGTGTATACATATAAAAGGCATTTAGTTAATAAAATAGAATCTTATGGCAGTACTCTCATATGTAATTTTTTTTTTTTGAAATGTGTGTAATTTGAATACATGTATAAAAGTGAATTTCATACATTCGATAGCAGAGGTCACAGCAGAGGTCAGAATCACCACCACCAAATCATATCCCAGAATTCTCATGTCAGAGGTCAACACCACTGAAACACTACAATCAGAAGTTCTGTGTATGTATAATAATTCAATCTGTAAAAGAAAAAGAATCATGAATGTATTTTCCTATTTTGGATTACTGCATGTAAACATACTTTTTTCCATGGGGTCAAAATACAGTGGAATCACAATTTCTGTTCAATGTGCAGTTAGAAAATTAATTACGATTTTTTAGAGTGCGCCACTATATGCCTTAAATGAACTTAAAGTATGATGGAACAAATTTCCATGAAATATGTTGACCGTATACATGTGTAAATTAATACCACTTGGAAAAACGTACTTATACAGTATATTGGATTTGGATGCAAACATTTTAACAGTATGGCACATCTTTTTCCATGTGAGAACAATTATTTCACTTTCATCATTATATTCATTAATTGAATGTAAAAATCATTGTCATTAATTGGAATTTTTCAGGAGGCACTGGAACTGCTTCAGGACTATGCTGAGATGAGGGAGGGAGATGATAATTACATGAGGGCCTTGGCTTGGAGACGGGCCTCCTGTGTTCTGAAAAGTCTGAAGTTTACTTTGACAAACATCAACCAAGTTAAAGGAGCTAAAGATATTGGAAAACATGTAGAAAAAGTGCTTCAGGTACTTCTAGATATATAATATTTGTGATTTTATTCTGCCATTTAAACCAATACATGTATATATTTTTCTTCTTCATATATATACATGTATGATATACAATAAATGGAATTTAGATGTGCAAAAATCTTGTCAAAAGCAAGGCATCTGTAATTGAAATTAAAATTTTACATGAAGTTTCCTGAGTAATGCTGATCAAAGGAGTAAGACATTTTCATATGTACATGTACTTGTGGATGTTTATTGAGTAAGTCAATTTAAGTTATGAATTAAATACAAAAATATTTTTAAGAGTATCCTGGACCATGGCACCAGTGATGAAGTGGAGAAAGTAAGAAATGATCCATGGTATCAGAAAATGAAGGTACATGAACCTATGATATTTTTAGCTTAATAACTAAAGATTAATATATTTCATACTATATTTCAAAGTCTAAATTACAGGAAAACTGTCTCCAAAATGTCCTTTTAAGCATTTATATTTAAAAAAAGTAAATTTTTTGTACTCCACATAGTATTATATTTTATCTTTCATGTATGTTACTAGAAAATATACCATATTTGTGCGTAGAATTCAAAGTAAAGGAGTTTAATTTCTAAACCTTAAATTTAAATATTATGAAATTGTAGATTTTTACTAAAGTATTTGGAGCTGGTACAAAAACAGCCCAGGAGTGGATAGAAAATGGATGGTCTACAATAAAAGAGGTGCAGCAGGAATATACAAAGGGGGACTGGAGACTGAGGTTTGGTAAGACTGCTGAAACTGTACAGCTTAATTGGCAAGGTGTTTCTCTGAGTCACAGATCTAAGAGGTTGTAAAATTTCCACTACCACTGGGTTCATAAATTGGAATTGCTTCATGGCCTACAGAATAAATATGTGAAATTCTAAGTTCATGCATAAAAACAGCCATTACAAGTATTTTTAGAATGAAAAATAAGTACAAGTGAAATTTGAAATTTAGTGATGTACATGTATCAGACAGGAGAAATTTATCTCTCTGCTTGGACTCCATTTGGATTATCTTGTAACTGTAAAATTATCTTGTAAAATTAACATTGAGATGGTTGTTTTATAAAAAATAAATGCCTATATATATTTAAGTCAAAAGTTTTTAAACTTATTCAAAAATTTTCAGTGAATGTACAGAGAAAAGACAGCAAGAAACAGGGAAAAAAAATGATTTCATAATAAGTGGTTGGTTTTAATGAAAAAACTAATACAGTAAAACTTGTCTAATTTGGACACCACTGGTTCCAAAGAATTTGGTCAGATTAAACAACATTTAAAACAATGAAATTTACTGCAACAGACTGAAATTTTACACTGTATTAGACAAGATTTCAGATTATACAACATCTGGATCAGACAAGTTCACTGTAAATACAACATTGAACAAATCTGTGAAGTTAATTCTCTTTTATTTGAACAGGACTGGCATTTCATGATGAATTGATGGAGTTAGTGACTCGACAGGAGGCAGACAATTTTACAGAATTTATAAAACATGAATCAGCCAGACTTCTGCCTGAGGTCTCTGTGGAGCTTTGTGGGGGGTTCAGAAGGTATGCATAGTAATAACTCTGTGAGGACTTCAGAAGGTATGTACAGTAATAGATCTTTGGGGGGGGGGGGTTCAGAAGGTATGCACAGTAATAACTCTGTGGGGGGTTCAGAAGGTATGCACAGTAATAACTCTGTGGGGGGTTCAGAATGTATGTGCAGTAATAGCTCTGTGAGGGGGGGGGGGGGGGCAGAAGGTATGCACAGTAATAGCTCTAGGGGGGGGGGAGTTAGAAGGTATGCACAGTAATAGCATGTGTTGGCTTAATAAAATTTTCACTTACAACAATTTTTTTAAAATTTATTTTCAACATGTTTAGTACTAATGGTCAATGTAACTAAAGTTTCAATTATGAAATCAAGCTAAGCAATCAAAATTGATTTGTCAGGGAATTTTGACTTTATATGTATTTAGTACTTGTCAAAAGACAAATTGTTAATGCATGCTTTGCACATGCACTCAAAATGTATATAACATATAGATGACTTGATGGACAGTGCACGGTTAAACAAATTATTTAGTTGATTTTCTTTTTGTAAAAGTACATGTTTACAATACATTGATTTTCTGATGCACTCTGAATATAGAATAACATTTCTGTGCAAAGTCAGTAATCATATTGAATTTGAGAGGTATGAAAACCATTTAATTAACTAATCAACTTTTACATGTAAAACAACCCTTGTATTGTAATCTGTGTATTTGTATGAACTATTTTGTTTTACAGGGGTAAATCTAAAGGCCATGATATAGATTTATTATTCACACACCCATTAAAGGGTAAAGAACATGGTTTTCTGCCTCATTTGCTCTCTGTCCTTGAGGGTCGAAAGCTGATTTTGTGTGGAAAGTGGAACAAAAGCACATTCACAGAGGAGGCAATGTACTCGGATTCAAAACGCACCAAAAATAATCAACTGGATCATTTTGAAAAATGGATTGGAATCATTAAGTTTCCTAGAACCTGGAAGAGGAGTGTTTCACAAGAGGAACTCTTCAGTGATGAAGGAGAGAATATACCACTTAATGAAAGTTTCGAAGATCTTGAACCTGCAAAAAAGAAAGCAAAGACAGGAGATTTATCCCCTCAAGAAATTGCAGCACAACCTCGCAGTTGGATTGCAAGAAGAGTTGATTTAATTATAGCTCCATATGACCAGTATTTCTATTCTCTGGTTGGATGGACAGGCAGTAAACAATTCAATAGAGATATCAGGACGTACGCCAAGAGAACTCATAATTACGCAATGACTAGTCATGGGCTTTATGATTTAACAAAGGTAAAATTCAAAATCAAAATTTTCATTGTAAAAGTTGATGTTATTTTAACATGTTTAAATGTATTACATTTAGCATGTACAATATTTGGCTGAAATTGCATTTAATTTTGCATATATTTGAATACATATATATAGCACATTTCTGAATGTGCTGGATATAAAAAATTTTATACAAGATATTTAGCGATGTGCTTCAATTAACGAAAGCTGCTTCCTGCGAAAGGCACTAAATAGAATACATAGTATACAGTTAAAGTATTCCATTGAGGGAGTTAGCAAGATTCCAGTTCCCCAAAGGCCAGGACTATTTTCCGAGGCTTTGCCTCGGGAAATAGTCCTGGCCTTTGGGGAACTG